GTAATCTCAACCTTATACAACCTATTAGCCTTATTAAATATACTCGAAAAATCTTTATTAAATTAATTACTAATAGACTCAATACTATATTTTCACAATATCTATTTTATCTCCCTTTAACTATATTGCTTTATCTGATAATAGTACCTCAATTCTTGTCATGGATTATAATTTAAAATAAAATCTACATTTTCTACTCAATCTGTTAACCTTCTAAAACCCATCTATACTTGTTTATTATAACTTTACTTGAAAACTAACCTCTAACCCTAACCCTTATCTCTAAAAAATACACTCTAAAAAATTTTATTTTTTGAGATTTTATATTATAATTTCATTTTAATATGGATTTCATTATGATCTGCCACAATTCTTATGCATATTCTTAACAATCTTATAAAAGATGCATCATGTAATCATAAGAATATATGTCTACTATCTCAAGATATAAATAAAGCTTATGATTCTATGAACCTTACTCTTTTAAAACAAGCCTTACTTTGTCTTTCTTTATCTACCTCAATTATTAACACTATTTATGATTTTTTTACAGATTGTTACAATCAAGTTATTACTAACTTGGGTCTTACTGTTTCATATTCTACACACAATAGTATAGACCAAGGTAAAACAATTACTCTTCTACTTTGGAGAATATATTATGATCTTCTCATTACTTATATTTACTAACACTTCATTAGATATATTATCAAAACATCCTAGATCACAAATCTTAAAGAAAAAACATTCAACAAACTTCAAGCTTATTGTTCTGTCCTCATTTATATGGATGATATCTTATAGATTGCTTCTTCACAGACTAAACTATCTCATATTATTTCTGTTGCAGAATTCTTTTACAAGATGGCTAACATTCAAGTCAACTTCTCCAAATCTTTACTTACTACATACAATCCTCCTTCTACATACCATTCTATTACCTTTAATAATTATACTCTTTTTCTATACTTACCTTTAAGTTTTTAGGCTATTGGGTTACTTTTGATAACAAACATCATAACAAACACAACTAATTATTAATAAATCTCTTTATTTAATACAAATTACAAATCCTAAATGCATTACAGATACATATACTTGATATATTATCAATACTGTTATTATACTTACAATTGAATACCATCTTCAGAACTTAGTTTTTAGCTAAAACATCTGCAAGAAAATACTTATATATTACATTGGTCTCATTAAACATAAAGCCAAGCTCAGCCATACTATTCCAACTACTATACTTTTATATTCACAATTATATAATATTCATAATATTTGGAATATTCAACTTCAATACCATATCTCTAATTATATTAAACAAATCAATAATATGGATTTTTTGGGAACTTGTTCTTATATTCAACTTCAACAACTTCAAAATAATCTTTAATTTTCTATAAATATTTTACTACATCCAAATCCTATTATTGATAAACTAATAAACAAACTACAAGCTTTAAAATTATTCAGCTATTCAAACATTTTGGACTTTTTATTGCTTCTAATATTTCATAGCAAATTCTATATACTATTTCTACTAATTCTATATTCTTAGAATCTATATTATCTATGCATTTTCAATATCCTAATTTTAAAAAACAACTTTGTTATTATTATATTTTGTATCTAGACTAACTTACCTCATTTGATAACTTTTGTTTTCTTAGTTGGCAGCATATTTCACTCAGAATTTACAAAGTTCTCAAAGGTAGATAACCACTATGATTTACTACTCTCAAAGATAATGTTATTAGTTATTATTTATCTAGAACTTTATATAATCATATTCAACTTTCTAACATAAATTATTACTGCTATACTACTGAACACTTTTTATCACACTTTAAACCTTGGCTTATTACAATGCTTAATAATCAAATTATCATTAGTAAAGCATACAGACAGCCTACTCCTTTTGAACATATTCTCATTATATACTGACAATGCTCTATTAAGCCTTAATTTACTTGCTTATATCTAACTTTATTGCTAATAGATGTACTATCATTATCCCAATCAATCTTACTACCAAATTCTTTGGTAGAGTTTATTTTACAACCAAATATATTAATTTAAATACCAATTATCTTGACTTAATATACTCTATTGCCTGTTGACATCCACTTCAAATTCTATTTATCTCTTATATTTCTATTGCTACAACACAAATACTAAACATTTTTGAAATGAACACTTCAACTCATACTCTTCAAACAATTGCTAATCTTAATCACAATTATTCTGAGCTTTTCTTCTATACAGATGGTTCAATTATAGAACTTGAAACACCTCAGTGCTCTATAGGGATTGAATTTATAATAACAATATTATATATTCTTTTCAAGCACAAATTAAACTTTGGTTATGTTCTTTTAAAGCTGAACTTACTGCTATCCTATCTGCACTTATTATTGTACTCAGAGACTACACTGTTCATATCTATACAGATTCACAATTTGTAATATCTAAATATAATAATATCAACCAGGCTTCTCTTTATTCGAACACCATACTACTCACTATGATATACCTTAATCAATTTTATTAATTTATATAATTTACAAGTTGTCTTTCATAAGATTGATACTTACCAAAATGATGAATTTTATAACTGGGCCAACTAATTAGCTCAAAGTCATTTTAATTCACCTTATTTAATATTTAAGCTCTACAATATATACAATCTAAACTATACTCTCTTTCTTGATAACTTTTCAGTAGAGTTACTAATTAAACGATTCATTGGTATGCTACCTGGCTATATATTAATAATAACCAAAAGATATCTAACTACTCACACAGCTTTCAGTCATCTACTTTGAAATTATTTCATATTAAAATCCTACTTGGTAATCTGCCCATTCCATATATTTTATATAAACAGAATTCTGCATACTCATTAGTATACCACCAATGTAATCACACCAGTACTGCATTTCATTAGATTACATGTCTAACACTTCAGCCTCTTCAAAACTTGATCAATAACTCACTTTAATCAATAATAAATTTATCTAATCTTGATTCTTCAACTAAATCTATCACCAATATATATCTGCAAATCCAAAATCTTTAATGTATGCAAATTCACAACTCACCAAACACACTATCTCTTTTATCAACAATTTCTGGCCTTATTCCTATTAAAATTATATCTGTTCTTACTGATCTTACCTCATTTAAAAAAATTATAATATCACTTGCAATCAATTTCTGCTACACCTTAACAAACAAATTTATAACTCTATTTGGATTCTATATTGCATCTCTAGATCTCAAATCAATATTTTTATTAACCAATTATTTTCTGTATTTACTTCATTTTACCAACCTTGACCTTTACTTTATTCAATTGCTAATCCTAAATTAAAATTATAATATCCAAAATGGATCAAATACCAATTTGACTTTCACAATTTACTTCTTAATTCCCAAATCTAGGTGAGCCATGACCACTCTGGTAGGTTTAGGCCACAGATAATTATGTTATTTATAGTAACATTGTGTCTAAGTCTCTAATCTTAACATTCTTTGGATATGAGGTTCAAATGTAATTTCTTTTTTGTATATATTTCTTATAAAGAAACTCAATTGAATTTCAATAAAATTAGAGACATGGCCTCACCTTTTAAAATTAAAAAAAAAAAACTAAATTACTAACTGTCATTATGAAGTGTAATAAGCAATCTTATTAAGCAGATTTAAACATTTTAAGCAAAATAATATCCCTAGTTTATAAGCATCAACTATATATATATATATATACACTATATATTAAATACTGTATATAAAAATAATTATCTATATAAGCATCTTTTAAGTACGTATAACTTCTGTATAAGAATACTTTTAGGGAACTCGATAGTATGATGACATGGAAGCGTGACTGATTAGGTTTATCAAGTTTTTATTGGCCTTATCAAGTTCTTTTAATTTAGTAGATTCTAATGCAGTAGGTTCTATTAATTTAGTAAAATTATAGTGTTTTTCAGTCCAGTCTCCAATAACCAATGCTGCAATGAGACAACTAGTGTTCCGCAAAAAAAGAACCGGCATTTTTAGTGGGCATTAAAGTAATGTTCATAGAAACAGGCTTCACTTTGTATCTCCAACATGCCAGTCATCAGCAGCAACCGAGAACTTTGAAGGTTTGCTACTGGTGACAGACACGTTAAAAATAAATGGTACTGTATGATCTTCAGTCCGGGTACCTTCTACTTTTATGTCCACTAAAAATGCTGGTTCCAACCGGATCTTTTTTGCAGAACACTAAGACAGACCAAAAAGACTGGCCCTCATTCGGCCTTTTCGGACCGATCCATCTCTATAAATAACTATGTGGCGGATCATTACTAAATCACAAAATCAAGACCGCTACACGAATTGAAAAATATCACGATACGATTTTATGACATTAAACAACACGTTAGCAATCATGTGCAATTTGGTTGATCATGAAATATTCGCAAACTACTGCACTATAAACAATTATTATTTATAATTTAAATATTTGAATTTTTAAGAGTGACCTGAATGTGAAAGAAAAATTCTACGCACTAACGCTAACTATTGTAGTATAAAATTAGCAAATAAAGTGTATGCGCATGCTCACCAAATATACAAATAAAGATTACATTTCTAGAATGTAACACTAGATCATCGCACAGTAACAATGTGGGTTAGGGATTTCGGATTAATATGATGATAAATTTATCATGCACGTGCAACAAAATTATATATAACGGTAATACAAATAAATGGTTCCGTAAATCATGAAACTTTGGTGCAAGAATTATTTGTACTCCTATTTTCACATAGATATATTATTATCCACTCGATAATATGGTTGTCCTTGTCTCGCCAATCTCTCTTGAATTGTTCTCCCTTGTTTTATTCTATAATTATTCAATACTTTCTTAAGTTTTATTTTTTTTTATTTTATTTTATTTTTTTTTTTTAATAAAGCTTATTTACAACTTTTCGTAAATATGAACAAGCTCAAGAATGATGGCCTGACCGTAGATCGTGACGTTGATGACTTGGTTCATCGCCCACTTCAAACCTCTCAGGAGAGTTACTATTATTCACAACATAACCACCATTCCGATGCACTATACTACAACCATGGACATCGGCCATTTCAACAATACGAACAAAGTTACCAGAAAGAGAACAAGTCATTGTCACCTGTTCCTCCTGGCCATGGTACAAACACAAGTTCAATAACCTCCAAAGCTCACCATGATTCAATTTTAATCGATTATTATTTAGAATCTAATAATAATGTTTTCCAAAATTCCAATACAGAAAATAAGTCACCACCACCAGAAATGAAACTACATGAACCTACAAAAACACGTATTGCTCCAAAATCTATTCTAAAAAGCAGCAATCCGCATGTGTACACTACCCATTTAACACCGAATAGTGATAAATCCATGCACTCTTCCATGTCAAACTTTCCAAGACCTTCACTTTCACCAACTAATCCTACAAGTCCGACACGCTCATTGTCACCACAATCATCATCATCTCAAATGAATATGCAATTTCAATACAAGATAGAACAGCAGAATAACTCTGTTACTCAACCATTGATACAAAAACCAACTAATTTAAATACTCGGAATCTACCAATCAACATGGAATATCAAAGGTCTCCTGTACAATATACAGCTTCCCCCGTACAATGTACAGCTTCTCCAGTACAGTATACTAATGATGCATTGCTACCTATGCAATATCAAAATCAAGTTGCTCCTCAACGGCCACATACTCAGAATCAAAATTCACCCACACATTATTCAAATCATGCTGCACCACGCTCTCCACACTCTCCACACTCTCCACACTCTCCACACTCTCCACACTCTCCACACTTTCCACATTCTCCATACTCTCGGTATCCAAATTCTCCAACTCAACCTTTTAAACGTCAAAACTCTTCTGAATCTTCAAATTCTCAGGGTTACTCTCCTGAAATCCCCTCAACTCCAACTTTCAGAAGACAAAACTCTGCCGAATCTTCAAATTCGCAAAATTATCAAGGTTACTCTCCTGAAATCACAATAACTCCAATTTCCAAGCGGCAAGATTCATCTGATTCTTCAAGCACCCAAAATTCTCAAAGATCGAATATTGATTCCGCGCCAGAACCTCAATATCAAGCAAAATTAATGCATAGAGTGAAAAGCCTACGCTCTGCAACTTCGCCACAAAATGTTGGTGGGTTAGAATCTATGAAGAAACCAACTACTATAGATGATTATGTATCACAAGCGATTAGATATCATGAAAATGATCAACTTGAGAAATCTACTGAATATTTTCATATTGCTGCTAAACAAAATAATACTATAGGAATGATTTTTTATGGTCTTGCTCTTAGACATGGATGGGTAATTACGAAACGTTTCTAATCCATACAAAATAATTTCTTGTTTTCTCTTTATAAAATAATGCCGGAAGTTTGGCTTTTTTTCTTTTAAACCAAAAGAAAATTATATATTTTGTCGGCTTATGAAAACAAAAATTAGTTTTGTATGGTTTAATTGTGAACTTTTTTTTTAAAAAAAATAATAATAACATTAACAAATGTGCCCTTAATTTTTAGGGATGCAAAACGGATACACCAAGAGGATTCAAATATCTACAAAAGGCTGCTGATTCTGCGTCAGAAATGCTAAAAACCATTGATGATTCGGCCAATTCGCAAATACTTAAAACTGGTCTGGTACTGGCAATTTATGAATTGGGTATGTGCTATAAACATGGTTGGGGTGTTCCAAAAGATAAGGTTAAGGCTGCTCATTATTATAAGATGGCTGCTGATCAGGTAATTTTTATTTTTCTGTCTTGTTAAAAGCTAAATTGGTAATATTAATTTCCTATGAAAATTAGGGGGATCCGGATGCACAAAATGATATCGCTCATTGCTATTATAAGGGAGAAGGCGTGAAAAAGGATATGAAAACTGGTACGTTCATGTGTTTATTATTATTATTATTATTATTATTATTATTATTATTATTATTATTATTATTATTATTATTATTATTATTATTATTATGATATTCATATTATATATATTTATTTTTATATTTTTTGTTATAGCTGCAAAATATTATAGAATGGCTGATAAACAAGGTTATGGTACAATGGGCAATTCTTGGATCTTTAAAGAAAAATATAATAATTGACTGCAATAGAGTTTAGAACCGAGTTATAGTAAACCGGGTCATCCGTGTCAAAACGGTTCAACCGGGTCAAAAATTTACAACTCGGGTCAAAACGGATGACTATATAACCTCTAACAATCTGTTACTAATACACAGAAAACATAACAAAATTTAACACATTATAATTGTATTGTGAATAAACTAGGGATGGAAAAAAAACGGTTTAAACAGTTTTTTTAGATGTTTTTAAACCATTTTAAAAAGCGTTTTAAAACATTGGACTGAGACTAAAATTTAAAATTTAGGGCTAAAATGCCGATTCACCAAGTTTCATAGAGATAACTTTTAAAGAAAAAATATTCACTTTATAAACTTTCGTTTATTATAATTACAAGAAATATATAATTGCTTAATTTCTGATTTAGCTATTTGTAAATATATTTATATATCTAATTTACGATCCATGTCTAATTTGGTTAATGTTATTTTATCTTCATTTGAACCGGAGACTTGAGTATCAGCATTATTTAATAAATTTTTCATACTTTTTGCATCTATATAAATTTTTCATACTTTTGCATCTATATAAATGATCCTTTAATCGATCGACTAAATTCACAAAGTCCTTTCAACAGTAGTTACACTTTTGGCGAGGTGTAGTTCAACTAAGTTTGTCAGTTTCCGTAACTTTTGTAAAGTTCGAGCGAATTTCTTTTAATGGAGGTCTCCTACGGAGCATGGTTGTTGATAATTAAAAGGAGATAACGATAAGTTAAATAAATAAATACCATCCATCGTTACGTATTATGACTACGTCAGAATGTATTAAATCATTTAAAATCATTTTTAAATAAAACAATCATGTTTTTTTAACATTGCGTTTTAAAACATTTTCCATCCCTACCCTTTTTCTCTTACTAATTTATCTAAATGTTCAATCCCGTTAATCTGGATTTAAAAAACGTTACAAACTTTGGAGGCTATACGGACTATCTATTGTTGCTAAAAATTTTCCTTTGTATAAACCTTCATTATTATTTTCTTTGTAATACTCTTTGTTCGACTCGTTCGATAGTACCCCGGGAATTCGTAGCGCATGAATGGCGTGATTGTCGATAACTCATAAAGGGGGATCACTAGGGTTGTTAATGGAGTACTCCAGACTAAATATCGAGGCAGCTTTTGTCTCGAATCATGTGCCATCCGATCGAACATGTGACAGACCCGGTTACGATCACATGTTCGATCAATTGGTTGACTGATAGAACGTAAGTATGAGGTAATCAGGTAATTAGTAATACGATCATTGATGAAAGTATATTAGAGTGATTACTCAGATATTCGTTACAAACTATATATAAAATTTTTAACTTCTTTTTTTTTCTACTTATATATACAGTTATATATTCAAGTGCTGATCATCTTTTCTTCTTTCCTGTTTTATTAAAGTACTTACTATAGGTCAGTTATATGCATATACTGAGTTTTTGTGCTTCAATTGGTAAATTGCTAATAGGCTAATGAACTTTCTTAATAGCTAGAATAGTGAATAACTATCTTCTTACAAATAACAAACACTAAAAAACACAACATAGCTTGGTATATATAAACAAGTAGTTCAAATATTTGTTATAAACTACTGTATATAGAATTTTTAATAGCTTTTTTTTTTTATTTATATATATAGTTATATATTCAAGTGACCTTTAGAAATAATTACAGATTTGGATCAACATCGCTTATGGAAGAATCAGATTTAGAATCAACATTGCTTATAGAAGAATCAAATTTTCATATATATTTTTCAGAATTCACAATTCAAACAGCACCTTTACCAACTTTCTCTTCAATTAAATTGTTAAATTATTGTAAATTTATATAATTTTGTATAATTTTGTGTAGATTTTTGTAAAACAATTTCTATGTAATTAGTAAAAAGGCTTAAACTTAAAAAAATACACAAAATTATATGAAATATAAGATTGTAAAATATAATTTTCAACTTTAACTTCAATAGAAAATGAAATATTAAACAACCAATTAATTTCAATGCCTAATAATATTTTATGATCAATATATGAATCTGAGTGATTATTTTATTTTATTTTTATGATAAAACTGATTTTTAATTTATAATTTTTCCTGATAATTAACTTTAAAGCTTTTTAAATTTGTAGAATTGATTCTGTGTGGATAAGCAGATTTACAATACAATAAGAGATATACTGCACCAAAGATCTAGCTAGCTATATATAATATAGAATCGTTAGGTTATTCCCTCCATTTTCATTTACGAAAAAATTTAGTTATACTGAAGTCTTTTTTTTATTTAGATTAGTAATATTAATTTTAGCTTCTAATAGAAATTTTAGCCTTCTAGTAAAATTTTTAATAGTAAAAGTTCTAGTGATACTATTAATTTTTGCTTTTAGTAAAGTTTTAGTGATCTTTCAATGCTTCTAATTAACTACACTGATCTAAATTGTTTGAATTGTTCTAGAATTGAAATTGAAATGAATAAATAGAATTAGTATAGTAGTTTGATGTAAATAGAATTTTACTGAGAAAGTATAACTAATGTGTTAACTGTGTAAGCTATCAACATATCAGTTATACTTTTTTAGTAAAATTCTGCTTATATTCAACTATTCAGGATATGTGAGTTGAAAAAAATAGGTCTAGACCATCTATATATAATCTAAAATTTCTGATACAAGCAATTGCTTTACAAATGAAGCTTAATATGTATTAGTATATCATTTTCATTTGAAATATATTGATTATAATGAAGAGTTTTAAAATTCACCAATAGGTAGTGCATTTCGAAAATAAGTAGAGATTTTTTAAATAGTATTTTACTAAATTAAATTGTAAATTGGAAGTATCTAAATGTAAATTTTTAAATATTTGAATAAAATAAATAAATTTGAAGTTTTAAATAATTTATTTCACAAATAAGTAGGTGTTTAAAGTTTTTAAACATACTTTGATTTGATGTTATAAATTTAAACTCACGTATTTTAATTAATTGATAAAAATTTGAAAGTGATTTCTAATATATTAACTATATATATAATAAAAATTTAGTATAATTTTTGTATATTTATCTGAATCTATATTACTATACTTCACAAAATACCTTCTTTTACTGCATTTCACTATTCAATTATTATGATTATTAATATAAATCTGCTTTTTGAAGACACATAGTATATAACGTCATTTACTACGCTGCTTATTGAAGTATTGATTTGATATATTAAATTTAATAAAATTTTAATATAACATGAATCAAAAATGATACTTATTGAATGGTCTGATATTTACTATGTGTCATTTTTAGAATGACTAATTATATTATACTATAGAATAAAAATAGTATAATAATCATATAATTGGTATAATATAATTAATAAAATGCTATATAATTGGTATAATATTTTAGTACAACAAAGTTGGCCAATAGAAATTTAGATAAAATTTTTCATAGAAATGAGCAAGCATGTAACAAACCGTATATACTTTCTAGATATTTATTATATAGTTATTATATGCATCAGCAAAATATATAAATGTAATCTTACGAAAGTTATTACACCCTGAAAAATTCCTCAATAATTACGATCAATGCAGAATATTTCAAAATTTTTAATTACGAAATATTACGAAATATATTACAAAATATTATGTAATTTATTACAAAATATTTTAATGTGATTCAAACTAATTAGAATTTATTCGAAATATACAAAATTTGCTACTTGACTAGACAGTATTAAAAAAAATATTTATAAAATAATTGAAATTAATTTGAAAAATGCGAATCTTTTTGAATTTATCAAAATTTAATTAAATAAATTTTTTTTTTATTTTTTTTTTATACCTTCGCAATGTCGTGGAAGGGTGGATTTTTATTAAGTATTTTAGTGGTACATTTTTGGTTAGCGAGAGTATATATAGCCACATGTGCAACTTTTGGTCGCCTAATTTAAGTAGTCCGCCCGAAGGTTCTATACTATATGTCATACCTGTAACCTAACTAGGAGATTACCTATTTAAACCCTCTGACGTCCTCCGTCCTGTGCCACCAC